AAAAATCACCTTTAAGATATCTAAGTTGACTTAAAGCTCAAGTCTTACCTCTTTTAGTGAAGGAATGAGGAGAACAGATAAGGTGGCAGATGAAGGTGCAGCATATGTTCTCGCACCATCTTCTTCATCACTTGTATGGCGCGATCTTGAAAACACCTTCTGCGCATCAAGATAGTCGCGAGAGTGCCTGGAAAAGTTATGGTGCTTCAGGGAAAATGATGAAACTAGGATAAGCCAACTTCAGACTATCTTTCAGCTTCAAAAACTCATGTACCTAGAAGAATCAGAGCTCATTGTTGATTGTTCTGTTTTATTTTCTAGCCCATCACGTTGGACCTTGCCCAATTTCGATCTGTCTCTAGCGTTTCCTTTCTTTGGTCCTGCTAGCATGGCAGCCTTGGCCTAGAAAAGTTCACATCTAATAAGCCTTACAAACAACTGAGAGATGTCATATTGGAGAGACTTAAACATAATTAAGTAATATATCCGAACCACTGAATGAAAGAAAAGTCCAGCTTGTTAAACATAAGAAATCACAGCCTAATGAATAAACAATCGCTATCAAGATTCAAGAATTAAAGATGTACTACTGAGGGAAATCAAAGTCTTCTTTGAATAACGTTTTTTTTTCAGATAACACTTCCTTGATAAAAAATTTACAACACGTTTCCACTTTTATTATCCTTATGGCCGTCCTATACCTAGGTTCAAAGTCTAGTATTACAAAAATCAACCCACGGATTTCATTAATTGAGACAAGAATTTCCCATAAATGGAAACCAGCTTGTTAGTTGGGAGAATTCTGAAGATAGATACCTCGGCAAGGTTTGTTGTGCTATCTTCAAGTGATGCACTTGAAGATCTCTCTTGAATTCCTAACCTAGATTTTGGCGTTCGAGGAGAATCTGGGTCATCATGACGTCCACGATAAACTACAGTGCCACTGGAAGAAGCATCCTCGAAAGAAGCAAGTGTGCTACTGGACTGCAAAGTGAATTGACACTAGTAGTTAATGATAAATTAAACAAAAAGTTTTTAGCATATGCCTGTTAAGAAATTTTGGTAGAAAAGCTGACGAATACCAGGGAACTCTGGTCACTGAACAGAGAAGAGGACTGAAATCCTCTAGGAGATCCTCTTGGTGATCTCACAACCACTGTTCCAGTACCACTCACTGATAATTCCTCCTGTAAATTGCAGATTAGAAACAGGGTCACAGGAAGATTCTAGCAGAAAAATATAAAAATGTAAAGGGCAATGTAACTAAATAGTTCGTCAATACATCTGAAACTTAAAGTATCAAGAACAAACAAGCTCTTCACTTTCTTTCTATTTTTTTAATTTTTTCTTTTGGGAGATCTGTAAGCTTAAGTAGAGATTTCTCTCAGCCGTGGGAAGAATTTGCACAAACTTGATGCATTTAATGTTAGCTATTTCATTGGACAATACACTAAAACTTGTTGTAGATGACAGAACCATCCAACTTTTAGTTCAAGTGTGTCACAACATTTTATTACATGAAGAGTGCTATAAAACCACCTAATAAGATCTTCCTGACAGTAAAATCCCAACATGCTGCCACATCGCAGACATCAATTACTTTATTTTCGGGAAATCATGATGTCTGATGTGTACATACATTCTCCTGCAACTTGGATCTGTAATCAAGTTTACTCCTTCATACAAGCTTCTAAATTTCACTAAAAGGATACGAAGTAAGACACAAATGTAAGTATATGCATGCATATAGAAAAATACACACACTTATAGAGAACAAAGCAATACATCTTCACGAGAATAATCTCTTTTCTCATTGTTGTTTGCATCTCCGTCATCTTTTTGGCTGAAACCCTCTGATGAGTTATAAAGAATAGTTCCAGAAGCAGAGGACCAATTGTTACCACTGTCCAAATTTTTTCTTGAAGCAGGTTGATTTGATGGAACTTCTGGTTTCCTATCTCTAACCTGTGGTGGTTTCACACTTCGGACAGTTCCAGTACTAGATGATCCTCCAATGCTGAAGTCCCATCCAGCAGTTTTTAGGGTTTTCCCCTGGCCACTGTAAAGGTAACACTCAGCAAAAAATCACCACAGATAACAATAAGGCACATCAAGAGGTTTCACTAACCTGACTTTAACAGTGTCTTCAGTACCCGTATCTCTTGTCACCTTAACAGTGCCCGATGCTTCCCCTACAGGTTTCAGGCCATTCCTAGGGGAATCAATATCATCCTTTATTTCAAACTTGGGGCGCTCCCTACAAGAAAACACATGTAACAACTTTTGAAAAGAATACACAATGGTTGACCCTGTATCATTAAGCAAACAATCCTTAAATTCTACACCACTAATAAGATTCAGAAGCGATAACTTGTCCAAAATTGGTAAACCAAAATATCATTTAGTCCCTTTTTTAACAGGATATATATCATTTACTCCCTCTTGTACCAAATTGAATTTATGCACTTGACTCTGATACAATTGTTAAGAAAGAAAATTTGAACAAAGAATACAACAACAACAACAACTCAGTATAATCCCACTTAGTGGGGTCTGGGGAGGGTAGTGTGTACGCAGACCTTACCCCTACCCTGGGGTAGAGAGGCTGTTTCCTTCTTAGTGGGGTAGAGACCTTACCCCTACCCTGAACAAAGAATATTTTAATGTTAAACGGAGGGAAACATGTAGGACCATAAGTTTCTTTCTGCTTTTCTGGTCTTAAAGACATCTCGTGAAAATAAAAGTGGGACCCAAATAATTTGTTCCACGTGAGATAAAATTTACCACCTTAGAAGTAGATATTATTTTGGGAAAGTGGAAATATAACTAATTCATCAAGTACCATAGTATCAAATGATACTAAGGCAAAATATGATGCCTTAAATTCCTTTTACCAAACAAACATGCAAAGAATAGGTGTAAGAGCACAAGATGTCGGGAAAATGGAATGCACCTGATTCTCTCTAAAAGTCTGGGGCTTTTTCTTGCATTCCTTATGAAACGATGCTTCAGTAGTTCCTTTGCACTTGGCCTCTAGGATCAATAGAAGTATAGAATAAGAGAAACAAACCTAAGCATAACCATGTCCGAAATTACAGATACATCACCCAACTAAATAAGAGTTGGATAATTAATATCAGGGAAACCATTGTTGCACAGATTTTTTTCCTGATAAGTTCAGTGTTTGTAGAGAAGATAGAAGATGAATAAAGGCAGAGGTTTTAAAAAGTAGATCATCTATAAACGATCATGCTTCTACTCTTTCTATTGGCTTACACCAGGGCCCAAATTTTGAGGTGCTTGTAATAATTACCAGTTGCAAAATGTCCAAACTACAAACACTAATGACTATTAGAACCAATTGATTCATACACAATTGTTTTCCTTCTTAGACTATAAGGCTGAAGTGACTCATAAGAATGTGTCAAGTGAGTTGGTAACTTTATCTATGCATCTACAGATATGTAGCCATATAGGCACCTTTATTAGATAGACTGCCATGAACCTATGTTGCTCGGACTCTCCGAAAATGTTGCCGGGTGCATGTCGTATCCTTCAAAAGTAGTGTATTTTTGGAGGATCCGACACAGGTGCGGCAGCATTTTGGAGAGTCCGCGCAACATAGTCATGAACACATGTTGAAATGCTTTAACATTTCTGCAATGGCTCATTCTCCCAGTAAAGCACTAATAATGGAGAATAAATTATTTAAACAGCATATTACAGCTGACATCGAGTCGTCCTAGGTTGTCCACGCCACTTTTATCAACGTATTCCAAATGTCATACTTTTGTACATCGAGGTTTGAATATGTATTGGAGACGTTGATTAGGATGGCTTATCAAGTTACTTAATGCTATAATAAGAAGTGGTAGGGTGTCCGACAGTTGAGAAAGAATACCTCGATTCCAATATGTAAGATCAAAGGAGATATTTCAAGTTGTGCGAACTATCATGGCATACAACTAATGAGACATATGATAAAACTACGGAAAAAAGTGATATAATGTAGAGTTGGAACATTACAAGAGTAACTGAGAAGCATTTTAGATTTATGGTAGATCCACAACATACGCTGTATTGTTGGTAAAAAGATTGATAAATTTATCGCGAGATGAAAAAGATCTGTATCCTTTTCANTCCATGATTTATGTTTCATCTTTCCTTTTCGTTTGTTTCGAGAAATCTATCGACCAATTCCGATTCTTTCTTTTTCTCTTGATTCTTTTCCGATCGAGATGTATAGATCCTGTTCATGGATTAACGAAAATGTGCAAAAGCTCTATTTGCTCTATCGGAAGGAGCTTAGCTTCTTAAAGGACTATAAATAAAGAAAGCTTTTTAGAAGAAAGCAATTCAAGTAGGGCTTGAAAGAAGCCAGGCTTTCCGGTCCGAGGAAACCTTTGCACGCCTCCGTTACCTTTTGGGAGGCCTACGCCCCATAGAAACTGTCTACATGAGACTGTCCCTTGGCCCTGATACAAGGTTAGAATTCTAATTCTGGATACTTTAATTCAGAATCAATCAATCTCCCCAAGTAGATTCGAACTTACGACCAATCGGTTAACAGCCTCGTGCATTGGAAATCATGGTTATGGACCCAAATCCGTTAGTATGTCGTTTCCAGCTGTTGTTCCCCTCCCAAGGGCAGGTTCTTACGCGTTACTCACTCGTCCGCCACTGGAAACACNGGGGGGGGGGGGGAGACATGACCGCACTTTGTCTCGGAATGCTAAGATTGAGAACACTCCTAGCCCCACAACTCTTTGACCTTCGAGAATTCCAAAAACTTGGAGATCCAACAACAAAAAGACAGCCAGTCCGATACAACATTGCTTTGGTATCTTTCTTTCGCCCTTATTTTCTTTCTTTTACTTTTTTAATTTTGCATTTTTCATTTTTACATTTTTATAGGGCTATACGGACTCGAACCAGAGTTTCTTAGGTAAAGTATCTAAAAGAATTGGATTCTATCTTCTCTTTTTTTTCTCCGCTCATTCAACCGAATTTGAATACGTGTCTATATATTGTTCTATTCGATCTTTTAATTCCCGACTTCACCTCAGCAGACAGACCGGTAAAACAGCAATAGCCACATATACGATTCTCAATCAACATGGTGTTTATTAACCTAGATAAAGCATATAACAGAGTACCAAGAAATATCCTTTGGTGGGTATTAGAGAAGAAAGAAAAAAGAAAGAGATTCATATTTCAAAAATCATATTAAATATATAGATGTCATAAAGGATATGTGTGAAGGAGTCATCACTAATGTGAGAATAGTAGCAGGAGATATAACGAAGTTTCATTAACTATGACTGTAACACTAGGGTATGCATTGATCTCGTGCTTTGGTTGCCCTAGTTACGGACGAGCTAATTAACACATGGAGTTGCCACTTGTCATTTGCTAACAATATTGTGTTAATTGACGAAGCAAGCGTCAGTGTCAACTAAAAGCTTGAACAGTGGAAAAGCACTCTGAAGAGTAAAGGTTTTAGCATAAGTAAGATTGAGAGCCCATTTGGACATAAGAAATTTTCCCTTTTTTCCAAAAAAGTTTCACATTTTTTCCGAAATCAGCGTTTGTTCATAAAATTTCCAATTTTCACTTGCATCTGCATTTTGAAAATTTTTCGAAAATTTGAAAAACTCCAAAATGCTGTCTTTCAAAATTTTCACTCAAATCACTCACAAAACTTCAAAAACAACCCAAAATTAAATTCATGTCCAAACACAACTCTAAATTTCAAATACCATTTTCACTTGAATTTTTTTTTACCTTTTTTTGGAATTTTACAATTCTTATGTCCAAAGGCCCACCGAATATATGCATTGCAAGTTTAGTCATCATAAGAGTGAAATTGAGGTGAGATTAGATGGGATTACGGTGCGTAAATGCCCAAAAAAATCATAAATCTATGCTTGATTTTTTTCCAAGAGAATGGTATGACAGATGAAGAAAAAGAATCAAAATAGGATGGCTGAAATGAAGAGTGAAGGTGTTAAAGAACATGAGGTAGACATAAAACAACATAGAAGTTGTCCTAAAATACCTACAATCTCTTGGAGCCCATACAGACCCAACGAAAAAAGGGAATAATGGAAGAGAAAGATCTATAAAGGCGATACTACTCCCTCCGTTCCAATTCATGTGAACCTGTTTGACTGGGCACGGAGTTTAAGAAAAAATGAAGATTTTTGGAATTTGCGGTCCTAAACAAGTCAAAAAGGGGTCTAGAGTATTTGTGTGGTTGTAAAAGCTTCTCATTAAAGGCAGAATTGGAAGTTTAAGCTAAATTATTTCCATATTTAGAAAGGGTAATTCTTTTTGGAACAGACCAAATAGGAAATAGGTTCACATAAACTGGAACGGAGGAAGTAATTACTAACTCCGTCCCAATTTACGTGGCGGTGCTTGACTAGGCACAGTTTAAGAATGAAAGTAAGACTTTTAAAACTTGTGTGATAAATCCTCTCATTAAGGGTCAAATGGGAAGTTTAAAGTTGAATTGCTTCTAAATAAGAAAGTATGACATTCTTTTTGGGACAGAATAAAAAAGAAAGTATGACACATATAGTAGGATAGAGGGAGTAGTTGGGAACATGTTTTAGTCTACGTAATATGTTTACTAGAAGTCTTTTAGTTATGTTAGAAATTTATATGTCGATAACCAAATTATCATGTAGGCTCTCTAGTTTTTGGTATAAGGCTCGTAAGATAGGAGTTTTTCCCACATTACTAAAATTATTTACCTAATAAAAAAATGTAGAGAACTTCTAGAACTTTTTATTGTTCTATTATTATTTTTGTACAATATTGCTCTAAGATAAACCATTAATGGAGCTAACACGATCAATGAAGATTCATAGTCTACCACAATTTGCTTGGGATTGAGGTGTTATATATTGAAGCCCTGGTTCTTCAAAAGCTAACCCCCTGTGGACCAACTTCTACATACACAATGAAACTCCAACTCTTTTCTTTGCATGAAAGGATGAATAATTATAGGCACATGGAAGTATGATAATAGTCAAGCACAAAGCAGAATCAGAGACGTTGAGAGAGAGAGAGAGAGAAACAGGGGGCTTGGCAGCAAAAAAGATGAAACCTACCTCAGTAGGACTCTTCTTCAAACACAAGGACACAAATTCCTTGAGAGGACGAGAAAAGTGTTCCTCTAGCTGCAGAATAACAGAAAACGCATTAATTGCTACCTTTTGAAGAACAAAAGTGTATCATGAAATAAGAGCACTTATAAATCAGAAGTGGATAAACAAAAACAAAAATCGAAAACATTGAACTGGAAAAAGTATAACCTGGGGAGGATTTTCTCGAGGTATGATAAAAAGTACTCTCATGGGGTGCAGATCAGCAAGTGGGGGTTCCCCTTTGGCCATCTCAATTGCAGTTATACCAAGTGACCAAATATCGGCCTGTACAGAGGAAAAACACCTTAGGTGTTTGACCCAAACCTTAAGCAAGGGCATACAGAGGAGAACAGATATAGGAGTTTTGGGAATCATTTCAATCAGCAATGGAAAGGATTAAGACTAAGAGCTACACGAGGAGGAAGCGGAAAAAGGAAGAAAGAACCAATTAGAAGAAGGAAAATGGACTCCGTATATTGCTGCAGTTCCAGAGATACCTTCTCATTGTAGCCTTCTGAGTTCTGAATTACTTCAGGTGCCATCCAGAATGGTGTTCCTACAAATGTCTGCAAATATTAATTACATTAGGAAGCTTTAGCGACTTGACCTTACTTCTAACCAACAAAACCCCATGCAACTTCCAGCAAAACTGTGACATGTAACCCAAAGACCTCTATAACTAGTCAACAAGAAATAATAAAAGCCATTCAGCAATGTGATTGAGCACAAGAATCTAGTCATCAAAACAGAATTCCGCAAAGTATAGCAAATTGTACCTTTCTCCTAGAGATCGTCCTTGTCAGCTGTGCAGAAACGCCAAAATCTGCTACCTGTGGAAGGGTAGATCAGAAAACAATAAACAAGCTCACACGATAGTAACACCACATTGTTACCATACATATAATATCAAACATGAGTTATTATACCTTCACATCACCATTTTCTGAGAGCAAGATATTAGCCGCTGCAAAAAAATCGAGAAACATATGTCATTTCCATAACTAAAAGGGGGTAGTGGGCCTCAAACTGAAAACAAGTTTAGTTAGCAACTAATGGAAGAAGCAATTAACAAATTAAGAGAACTTCCAAAGTATTAACGATTTATTAAAAAAAGATGATCTTAGCTGCTGCAGTTTAACACCAAGAAGCATCTAATTACAAAACGTGGTAACTCAAGGCAAGAACTGATTATCAAGTTTGATCCACCCATTGTTTCAAAATCTAAGCTATGGCCAACATTTTAGCAAATAAAACTGAAAAGATAAAAAGCAAAGGTACAAATGGCCCATGGACAATACCAATCTAGATATCTGCCAGGCTATCAATATTTAGCTACAAAAGAATACAATGAACCTTTGATATCGCGATGAATTTTGCCTTCAGAGTGGAGGTATTCAACAGCATGAAGCAAATCACGTAAAATGCATGCAATAGACATTTCATCCAATGGCTGATTTGGTTGAATCTGCAGAAACAAAATCCTGATTAGTATCCAGAGAAAAGTTCATTGAATAGATGACCGACATGTCGCTTCTGGTGGGCCATTTTGTCTTAGTGAAGCAAAACTAACACACCTATAATAGGTGGCCTGTAATGTAACATAGTGGCTGCAGGTGTTGAACACTAACAGATATTTAAACCTGAATAACAAAAAAGATAACTGCACTATGCTGTACGAGTACTATGAAATGATTAGCTACGGCCAAGTTACTTTGCTTGTAGAGAATTTGAAGAGACCCGAACAAAATAGAATTTGCAGTAAGCAAAATTCCAGATTCAGAGTATTCTGCAAACTTTTTTATGGAGCACCAATTATCCTTGTGTTAGCATATATCATTAGATGAATTTAGCCAGGAACGTCACCGTATCTGGATATTCTCTATACTCCTGGTATATGGGTTCTCCCCTTGTTGAAAAGCAATCATTATTTATCTCAAAACCCGCCAACAAGAAAAAGGTATGTAGCACAGGTATAACTCAAACAAAGCTGAGTGGTTGACATTTGATTATGTTCACTTAAGTTTTGGCAATTCAAATAACAGGCGTAACACAACTCGGAGGAGGTACAAGTTAAATAACCAAAATAGTAGTGGCAGTGGAGTATCATAAACTAACTCAACAAATTTGACCAAGCCTGGTTTTGAAATCAAGCTTTACATTTGACACCATGGCACAGGTGATCCCTAAGATAAAAAAAATGTTTTGCAGTGTGCAGCCAGAGCTCGGCAAAAGCTAGATATTGCTAAGAGTCACAGAGTTAGTTGAAAAGGGTGTCATACCACACTACAAAGACATTCAATTAGTCATTAAGACATCTTTAAGGTTTTGAGGCCAGTATTCTTATCCCTCAATTTAATAAGTTCCACATTGGAATTCCATTCAATTGATCATCAAGATATCTTTTAGGTTTTGAGGCCATTACTCTATCCCTCAGTCAAATAAGTCCCAAAAATGGTAACTGCATGTAAAAAGCATTTTAAGTTCATCCCCACCAGTCACCGCAGGATTTGCCTTTGAGTTCCAAAAATTACTATGTATTTCATTTATAAGCTTTACTATAGTGAAATAGATTTTCCTTCAATAAGTAGAATAAGATTCAAACACTTCAAACGGAAGTCAGATCAAGTCAGGAAAGCTCTGTTGTGGTATATGCAGACGGGAATGAGAGAAACAATAGAACTATCTCTTTTATTTCTGGGATAAGTAAAAGATAACCTTACACTATCTCATATCATTGTTTTCCACTTTTCCTGTCTCACCTCAACATCCCCAGCAAAAAAACTAGAGCTACGTATGTTTTATAGCACAACGGAAAGTAGAAACAACATATTAAACTGATTTGACTTCAAGGATTTTTGACCTCTTTAGCCATCACAAGCGTAAATATAGTGTTATAATTATAAAATACAACATTTCAATACAGGAGAACCCACCTCCCAAAGTCAAAGTTAATCCCATTATTTTATGATGAATATTTACTTCGTGTCCAGGAAATTTTATAGTCAGGGTGCAGAGGTTGGCATTATTTTAGATTTTGCCACTTACTAGATCAGCAACTGAGCCACCAGCCATGTATTCCATTATTATCCATAGCTTAGTTTGGTGCAGGTATGACCCATAGTACTCCGTAATATAGGGAGATCGACATTGTGATAAAACTGCAATTTCCTGAAAAAAGTCATCCAATAAAAACCCTGCTCAGTTAATGATCTAATATAATCACCAAAGAATAACGTAAGTCAATCAAAAATGTCAATATACCTTTTGGATATCCTCAACTTCATCCTCCCTGAATGACAGCAATAAAAAGACAATTTAGGATAAACTAAACTATAACCAAGGTATAACAAGGACAGAGACTTCAGGAGAAATAAAATAAACAGTGAAGTAATTTCCTTGTATGAAACAACAGTTTCAAGTCTCCACCCAGCCAACAAAGTTATCCAAAAAATTATTAGACTGCTTTGTGTAACTCAGTGTTGTCAAAGGCTCATTTAAGGCGTGCTTAAGCCCTAAAGCTTGCGCTTCGCCTCGCTTAAACTGCGCTTAAGTGTAAGGCAAGGCACTGAGACATGTGCCTCATTGCCTATGAGTTTTATCGCGAATCAAGCAGCACAACAACAAATATAATTGGAAAATAAGTGTATTAGCTGTAAAGGAAAATATTATGAATGAATTTGCTACTTTGTTCTTGAATTACATATTTATTTTTATTTCCTTTCATTGCGCCTTTTTTTTTTTACTAAAGCCCACACTTTAAGTGCACTTTGCGCTTAAAGCCCCAATTAGAAGTATTAGAGCTTTTTGCCTTTGACAACACTGGTGTAACTAGAACCAATTATGAACATTAGTTTCTTATCAAAGGTCACATGAATGGCAAAGTTATTTGCATAGATGTCTCAGTGTTGATAAATCTGGAAATTTATAGCCCTACACCAATTACCAAAAAGTTGAGTGTGCTTCAACTACCAAAAGAAACTTGAAGGAATTCATGGACTTTCAGTACAATCTTTAAATGTTTTGCTAAGGCACAGTTCAAATATGAAGCAAATTAGATACCTTTACTTGATCAAAAAAAATATATCTATGAAGTGAATTAAGAACATATAGGGACTAAAGCTTAGTTGGTCAGTCTATCTGCCACAACGACTAATCTATTCAAGTTCTAATCAAGTAGATCAAAGAACAGACACACTCTTCCATAACAAATATATGAAAAAAGAAAGCTTTCAACTCATCTTTCACTTAAACTAGCTAGATAAAGATTTGTAGAGGCCTGAAGATCATCATATTAGAACAGCAAGAAGCCAAATCAGAAACCACTAGTTATAGTTTGCACTGGTTGTGCCTGATATCAGTTCTAACCGTTTAATCAATATATATTTTCTCCTGTATCGATTGTACTAGAGTAATCTATTTGCCAACCTACATGGTGAAATTGACAAAAAAATGATAGAGCTTATAGTTTATCAACCTAAATGGAGTTCTGCCAAGGGAGTCTAGTCTCATTTCTGTATCCTCAACTGATTATTCACACAATAGAAATATAACTTAAAAGTAGATGAAAAAAGTTGCACTGCCGAGATGATATAGAAAATATTCAGATCAAAAGTAAAATATGACATGCCGCTTTCATGTAAGCTGCCAGTCTACTCTCCCTCCACGGGAAAGGAGAGTAAATCAGCAGTGGCTCCTGCTAAACAACAGATGGAGGACATAACTTCAAACTCCAAGTAAAGTACCCAAGGCAATATACTCACGATTCTTCTAGATCAATAACCTTGATTGCAACCTCTTTGTTGAGTTCCTTATCAAACCTGCAAATCAAGAAAAATAAAAACCAGACATACTATTGAACTTATTAACATGATGACATTTCAAGACAAAAAATTTAAGGTCAAGCTGGACGAAATAACATGGAAAAACTTATACCTTTCCTTCTAGAATAGCTTTCGTTCCTTGCTAGAATAGTTTTCACTTAGTCAAGACATAGGTTTATCATATCTTAAGAAGTGTTTATCGCTATTATCATACTATTGTATATCTCTTAGTAAATTTGTAAATCCAGACTAGACAAAGAGGACCTATTACACTTATTCATTGTTACCATAGTTAAAGAATAAAATATTGGATGAAGTTAGGAACTTGCAGGACAGAAAACGAGCCCCTTGGTTGAAAAATGATTCATTTATGATCGGCGGTTAACCTTCATTAGCATTCCATTCTTTACTATCAACGGGAGGATTTTTGAAGAGGAGAAGCAAGGCATGGGATGTTGCTCCTCTAGCACTTATATGGGTTGTTTGGAGTTAGAAGAATAGGAGAGCTTTTGATAGAGTAGAGAAAGATCTTGTACACTTGAGGAGTACCCTCTTTTCCCTTATCTATTCTTGGTGCACCCATGAGGTTCCTATTTGTATAGAAGATTGGGTGTTATTCATAGAAAACCATGTCCTTTTGTAAGGTTTTCTACTTTTTGGTATACTCCTTGCATACGGACATGTTCTTTGCTCTTTTTTAATGAAATTTATTACCCTATCAAAAAAATCAATAGATGGATATTCCTTATCCATCTAATAAAGAATAGCATTCAAGTTCATTATCAAAGAGATGGCATTAAAGTCCCTTGAGCAGTTAGAGATATCTGTACCGAAAATAAAGAATAGATTCTACAGATGCACTAAACTAACTTTATCAGTTTGTATAGAAATTAGATCAAATGAATGTTGTCACCAGCGTCCACTGAGGTTAAACGTAAAAGAAAGTGCATCTGGACCGCATATCACATCTAGTTCACATTTCCATAAACTAAGGAAGCAGCAGCTTAACAGAGCCCAAATCCTAGCCTAGCAGTTTATTCACGTGGGTAAACGAGATACATGACTTACTGGCAAGTTTATCCTTTTTAATCTCGGTTTTAACAAACATGGTAGAAAAGAAGCGAATAACGACCCTTTTCAGTTACTACTCCCAACCCAACCCCCTCCTTCCCTTGTTTTTCAGTCAAAAATTAAAAATCGTTCAGTACTAATTCTACAGTGCCATTTGCGAGGGAAAAAAATGCAAAAAAAAATTGACTTGTTGAGCATTTTCCTAATCGATAGATTTACCAGATATTCTTCTGGCAGTAGGTTAAATTTCCCTCTTTTGGTTACCGAGGAATTAGCTTATTAAAATCTCTAGATGTGAAATGCTAAATTGCTGGTATCTAGAACTCGAGTCTCACCAAGAAGAAAGAGCTGCATAGCGAAAACAATTCAATATGGCATTCAGATAAATACAGACCACTCATACCTGTAGTATCATTATTTTTTGCGGATTTTCTTACACTTAGATATCTATTACTATTGGTCGTCTCTTTTGCTTTTTTTGCCATGGCTTCCCCAGTATTTCTTTTCAACTATGATGTGACTATGCTTTTCCTGAGCCAGAAACAACCTCTCTAGTCTCTATCTCCACAAGGTAGAGGTAAGGTTTGTGTACACACTGTACTCCCCATATCCCACTACTGGACTTACACTGGATATGTTGTTGTTATTATAAATATAGACCATATATCAGTATCAGATTTTACAACTGCTGCGACTTACGCCTCAACTGCAAGTGAGTTGGATTTATGAATTCATTAAATTTATAGCTTTATGTTTCAAGATTACAATCTTGAATTTTAAGTTGAGATTTCATATGTCGATTCAAAACTGGAGAACATACTTTTTAATATAGTTCCCATTTCTATTATTGAAATTTTTTCTTAGATAGGTTAAGTATGTGTATAAGTAGATGAAGGGGTGACAAGCAGGTAAAGAGTAAAATAACTCACGAGAAAAGTGAAGAAAGAAAAATGACCAATTGCATCGCAACAAATCTTGAATTTATAGCTTTATGTTTCAAGATTACAATCTTGAATTTTAAGTTGAGATTTCATATGTCGATTCAAAACTGGAGAACATACTTTATAATATACTTCCCATTTCTATTATTGAAATTTTTTCTTAGATAGGTTAAGTATGTGTATAAGTAGATGAAGGGGTGACAAGCAGGTAAAGAGTAAAATAACTCACGAAAAAAGTGAAGAAAGAAAAATGACCAATTGCATCGCAACAAATGGCAACAAGTTCAATGAAACGAAATCTATATCATTGATAGCAGATTATGGGTAAAAGAGCATTTAAAAGCTTAGTGCTATAGTGATGTAATTTAGAAAAGCCATGGAAACAAGCAACTAAGGTGGTATGCCNAAAAAAAAAAAAGGTTGCTGGTGGACATCTTGTAAGACAATTAGACTTCATTAACCTCTATGCTACCTTTCTCTCTTCTTTTTTTTTTAAACAAGTAATTAGCCTCCATGCGACTATTCACAATTAAGGGATAATCTTCTCTACATCTAGCTAATTTCTATGTACTTCAAAAGAGTAAAATTCTATAAGGCCTAAACCTAATATATACTCCATTCCAAGCAAATGTTAGCACGCTCTTATTTAGTAGTTCTGTAATTGACCTCTTTATCTCCCGGACGAAGTTCAGCTATATTCCAAGTGAATACACTTTAGTTTCATAAGAAGGTATAAACCATTACTTGAAATATTTTCTATAAGTTATTAGTGAATTGCTTTGATACACATAGGCAAAGACAATCTTGTCGATAAATTCAATGCCAAGTCCACTTTCGCTCTCCTAAGATGGAATCAAAGACAAAATAAGAAATCCAGCACAAGAATCCATATGTTATGATCTCCTATAAACTTCAAATAGCAATTCCTCAATTACAATCATCATACATCAAAATCCTTAGTCTCCTAATATAAATATCATCTTGACCTATCAAAAGAACCTAAGAGTTGAACATACCTTGTCTGACTAAAAACTAAATATAACTTACAAAATCTTATAACATGACATATCAAGTTGTTCATAATCACTTAAATCATTCACTTGTGAGAAAGACTATCTAGAGTGCTCTTTATCAACAACAAAAAAAGACTATTTAAAGTGCTAGACATACTCGTGGATACCCCCTCCCAATCTTATGACACGTGTTCTACTATTGTAAGCATCAAGATATCTTTGACGTTGTTCAACAAATAATACTACTCATACACATATTTCACATGCTTAGATTTCAAACCCATTAAATAATCTTAAATTTAACCATTCTAAAATATTTTTCTTCTCAAACCAACTTTGACACATTTCGACAGAGGGTGCAAGTGGCACATAGAAGATATGCTGAGAGAATGTCGTCTGAGATGATTTGTCCATGTTCTAAGCAGAATTCTAAATGCAATGGTACGTACGTGCAACAATATAAAATGATTAAAGGTGCTAAAACGGGACAATGTAGACCTAAAATCACGTCTACATCGTATGTAGAGCGCCCAAGCGCTTTTTAGGAAAGGCTGCTTTCGGTTGGTTTCATAATGAAAGTTGTTTAAGAGACCCTATTATCTCTCAGGATTAATTCGGATTTAGCAAAAACAAAGCACAATGGAAATAAAGGATTCAAATACGCAATATCAACTAGTTACAATTAAAGTTTAGTTGTTATTTCAAAGTAACTGCTTGCTGAGAACCATTTTAATCTGGTTAGAGACTTATATGTCAATGTAGTGATGAGGATATGACTAAGAGAATAGTACTTTTAGAGAACCCCTAATTTTGCTTAAAAGGTAAAGTAATTAATAACATGAAATTGGACCTAATAGAGTGTCGTGGACGTGGAAGATTCATATAATTTACCTGAACTAGTTCAAAATTGAAGTGTAACTGATGGATTGATAACACCTAGTAACAAAAGCAAGATGGAAACACATTAACAAAATAAAACATTTTGATCCTTACCCTTTATAGACGTCACCAAACGAGCCTCTTCCGATGAGCTCAAGATCACTAAATCTGGATCCTGAGGCTTCAATAAGAGCAGCAGCATCAGCCATTTTTATATACAACTAATTTTTTCCTTCGCACTCTCAGTAGATGAAGTGAAAGCCAGTATAATACAACCACTCCACATCCCCTAGCTCGCACTTCTCGGTCAACTCCGCATTGCAAATATTCAACAAATTCATAAAATGTGGCCACTTAAACTCACTCTTGGTACGGGAAACCAATCTGGCAAAAATATTAAGTGCTGGAATTAACCAATAACGACAGAAATTTTAAGATTCACATTATCAAACACATAAATAGGCAAAATAAAGCAAAATTTGAGATCTGACAGTAATAAATAAAACTGAAATCAAAATGCAGGAAACTAAGAAACACAAAATATATAAGGAGAGGACTCGTTAGGTAAAGTGGAAGACGATAATAATGACAGTTCAGCAAATTCTACGTTTTGACAAAATAATCGACAGCGAGACGGCGCCAAACGGAGTATTGAAAAACGAAACTGTTATTACAAGGAAGAAACAAATAATAATAAAAATTAATAAAAAGTGCTTATTTTTTCCTCTTTTTCACCGAATCTGAACTAACAAGTAACAAACCTTGAATGCAAATAAGTCGATGGATGAGTATTTACATCAGTAAATACAAAATTAGCAGGAGAATCCGTAGATCTCTTCTTTATCCCTTAAGCGAAGACTTGTTTCTGTTTTGTGCTTTGGCATATGTACACGGCAGGGCTGGCTACAAGGGATCGAGAGAAGAAGGAATGTTGTTCCGTTTTCTGTAATTCATTTATTGGGGGAAAATGATTTGTGTGGACCGGCTTTCGTGAACCGGGTTTTAAACCAACCGGATTGTTCTTATTCGTTCGGACTAGCTAGCTGGACTCTATTTGGCATTTGCCATCGAGAAATGAGATTTGTTGCTTCTGAGTTCTGCCCTTTTTCCAGTTGGCCGTGGTAGTTTTTTCTTTTTCTCCTTTTCTGATTATTATTATAATAGAAATGGTCAAGTTAGATATATCTTTTTACCCTTTATTATAAGTGCCTCTGCTGTGGATTTGAAAATTATCAAGACCTCCAATATTTTTACAAAATTAAGTTTAATGGAAGAGGTACTTTACTTTTGCCCCTTACCTGTAGAGTTTAATTTCTGGGGCATTGACAGCATATAAATTTTAATTATATAAAATTAACCTAGAATAATAAGTAACTCTTCCTATTCAATCTAATATAGTATTAAGAATGAGTATGGCTCTAATACTTTTTTGGAATCTTATCTCCTTAAAAAAGAAAAAGAAAAAAAAAAGCTCCTCTAATTATTTAATTAAATACTTCTTTTGCTAAAAATTATGAGATAATATCTACCTATATTAATAGTGTTTACCCTCAAAATTGGATAACAATTAAATTTATACGTGATTTTAAGGATACGTAATATAATTTGACACAAATTGAGAAAACATATTAATATTGAAATCAATGACAGAAAAATGAATGCAAACCACACAAGGTGAACAGTGTTAGTCTTGAAGGTTGGTAACCCTCGAGCCAGAAATTGCCTCAATCGATGTCAGAACAGCATAGCCATATAATAAGAACTAGAAATAATAATGTATTGCCTTTGGATGCGTGTTATAATGTGTAATACAAATAATCAGGCCCAATTTATATAGTAGGGGAATCCTACTTTAGATACAATTCTACAAAAGGTAAGAAATCTCATGATTTGCTAATTAGTTGGTCTCTCGTTGATATGTGCCGAGATTCTCGTCGTGATATTCGATCGGTTACCAATTTTTCGGCATTCCATTATTCGGTCCGATAATATTTCCTCGATCTTGTTCGGAGTCAAGGTCGGTTCCATAGTCACGGGCTCGATGATCTAACTTCGTACCTTGGTTCGATATAATCCGGGGTTGAGTTTCAACCCATCATGTTTCAGTCCCGACCTGTCATGCAGTGGACGAGTCCGATTTTGACCGTATACAAATAGTCCCTCATTTTTCAGAGAATAAACGACGAGAAATGATATGAGCCCTCGATCTTCATCTCAATTTTTCGCTAACGAAACGTCTCATCAGTCACATCTTAAATGGGATTAAATGTTCGTCAATTACTAGTCGGCCATTACGGATTTTGAACCGTCGTTTGCAAACTATAAATACCTCTACATTATATCATTCAAATTTTACTTTCAAAACCTCTGCCTTCGTATACTAGAAATTTCTATATCCCCAAATACCAATTTTCTATAGCATACCTTCACTTTTGCTAGATTGGTGGAGGGATCTTCCCTCAAGTGACCAAAATCATGTGAAACGAGTCTTAGAAAATTTGCCTTCTCTGTTGGATCTTCAGCCAAACAAAATGTTGATCGAGGCTGCCACTATATTTTGGGACAAGGAAAGGGCCATGTTCCGCTTTGGGGACATAGAAATGACTCCTCTTCTAGAAGAAATAGGGGAATTTGTCGGGTTGCCTTGGGATAGCCCTGGTCTATTAGCACATGGAAATTGCACCACTAGAGGATTTCTTAAGATGATGGGGCTGAAGAAAAATGATGATCTGGAGTGCCTGAAGAACTCCTACATACCTTTCGACTTCCTCTATGAACAATACGGTCACAGTTGCTCTTACCGTATTTTTGATGATGAATTCCCAGTCACCTCCTTGGGCTGGATTCATCGTAGGGTCTTCGTGTTCATTGTATGTTTCTTGGGCATGCTGGTATTCCCGATTCAAGGGGATAGAATCTATATCAGGCTGGCCATGGTGGCCAAGACTTTGATGGACGGGATCGAGGGGCAGACATATACCATTGTCCTTATGATCATTGCAGATATGTACGGGGCCTTGGAACACTGTCAGAAGGGGTTTAGGTTCTTTGAGGGTTGCAATTTGCTGTTGCAGGTTTGGTTGTTAGAGCATCTCCAAAGGGGTCAATACCGCCAAGAGTTTCCACGAAGGTCGTGGAATGATCACATAGCTTTCCATCACCATAAGAGAATGACTTACATTCCGAACATGTTTGCTCAACCTAAGGATGTTGTAGGATGGGTGCAGTTCTTCGACAAGTTAACTGAGGACCAGGTTCAGTGGATGTTCGAGTGGTTCCCCTTCGACGAGTTCATCATCAGATCCAGAAATGTTCCACACTTGGTGTTAATTGGGTTAAGGGGGATATACCCTTATGCTCCCCGCATGGTTATGAGATAGGCAGGCAGGAGACATGTCATACCACGAGTCGCTAAAATGAGTCACTTCATAGCTGATTTCCAGGGTGACGCCATCCCATATAAGAATAAACGCAACATATGTGGACTCTGAAGATTATCGTGGAAAAGGGCACCATCGAGCAAGACCGTTATCATGCAGGTCACTCATACTTTTACCCCGCATGGTTGGATGATAATCTATCAGGAATCTTCGAGCCAAGGGTTGGTCCAGGAAACAGGGTCATAGATGAGTTTGCCGAAGCAGAGGTGAAGTATAACAAGCTGCGCAAAAGAGTTCGAGAGTCTGAAGCTGAACATATGGTGCAATATAAGGCCGATATGGAAATGATCAATGAGTGGAAAGAAAGGGCTGTTAAATCTAGAGAAAGGTTGGAATATTTGGAGTACAGTTTAATGGAATTGGAAGGGAAAATAATAAAGAGGGTCACCGACTGCCAGAACGCTGAGGGAAACGAAGAAGGACATTTGGCAAGGGCATTCTTACTGCTGAAACTGTGCCAGCTGGGGGAATTGATCGACAATAGTATCCGGTCTGGAGAGGGTCCTTCTGGGACCAAGTAGATTAGGTTTACTTGCTTTTCTTTCAAATGTAATAAGGCCGAGTGTCATTAGTAACATTATCTTATTTAGTGTCGTTTTGGGTCGTTTATTTTTACATTAATGAAATGAGGCAATTATTGACACTAAATTTCTCCAAGTCTATTTGTCGCTTATCTTACCTCGGGCACAACGAGGCCCCCAAATTAGGACACAAATTTACACTCCCGCAATATGTGTTTAAATACTGCAAACATTTCAGAACCCTCACTAACTTGTTTACCTTTTATCTTTCTTTATTCTTTATTCCCATCCCCTAAGGTTGGTTCGCACATACTGGCATCATCAGCATATCACACCAGATCTAGAGGCCCTCCACCCCCTTCTCTTCCAAGTAACACAAAGAGTAGAGGGAAAGCTAAAATGGATGACTTAAGTGGTATTCAAAAGGAAAATGCAGAGAATGCAAAAACTTCAGACTGTCGGAGTACTCCGGCACCAAATGATTTTGTTTTACAGTTGGAACAAAAGATACTGGAGTTACAGGGAGAACTTGAGCAGGTCCGTAAGTTAACAAACTTATCCCTCACCCTGAATGTCCTCGATGTCACCCAGCAAAACACCAAAAACCCAGCACCTCCCCAAAATGTACCAAACCAGCATCCACAAAACCCTCCCGCACCGCATCAATATGCAACTCCACCCCAAAATCTCAATCCATTACCGATACCAACTCCACCACAACACCATCATCAACTAATCCAGAACCCACCAACCCCTACCTATCACACTCCCCAGAATATATCACAACTTATTCCCGATCCTCAAAACTCAACCAACGACCACCACTACACCCAAGTTCTTGGCACTCACCAAAATAACAATATATATGTGGAAACCGTACCTCACTCTACTCAACCAATCTACTTTACACCAGAATTCGTTGAGAAGGACCTGCTCATCAAGAATATGGCTGAGGAACTCAAGAAATTGACAAGTCGGGTTTAGGGTGTCGAAGGAGGCAAATGGATAGAAGGTTTGAATTATGAAGACCTATGCATACATCTGGATGTAGAACTGCTAGAGGGTTACAAACCTCCCAAGTTCGAGATGTTTAATAGTACAGGTGATCCCAGCGTTCATCTAAAGACTTATTGTGACAAACTTGTCGGGGTTGAAAGGGATGAAAAGATCCGGATGAAGCTTTTTATGGGGAGTCTTACGGGAGATGCTTTGTCCTGGTACATTAGCTAGGATCCTAAGAAAGGGTCCAACTGGGTGAGTATGGCATCAGATTTTATGGACAGATTCAGGTTCAACACAAAATGCACTAGATGTTTTCTACATTCAGAACCTCAAGAAGAAGCCCACCGACACTTTCCGCGAGTATGCTACTCGTTGGAGGTCAGAAGCGGCCAAAGTCAGGCCAACTTTGGACAAGGAACAGATGAACAGATTCTTCGTCAAAGCACAGGATCCGCAATACTATGAAAGGTTGATGGTTATTGAAAACCATAAGTTCTCTGATATTATCAAACTTGGTGAAAGGATCGAAGAAGGCATCAAGAGCGGGATGGTAACAAACTTTGAGGCATTATTGGCCACGAATAAAGCATTACAATCAGGTGACATATCAAAGAAGAAAGATGTCAGGGCAGTAATGGTGGCTCAAGGCCCAAAATCCCCACTTACATACCAAACATCTCCACCCACATACCAAACACCTCCACCCACATACCAACCTTCATCTCCTAGATATTCCCAACCAGCCACTGCCTATCACGCCTATAATTCCCAACCCTCTCATTTCCAGTCACCTCCAACTCATCAAAATTACCAAAGACTGCAACCTAATTTTGACCGCAAACCACCCAGACAATACACCACTATTGCTGATCCCATCGACCAGCTGTATGAAAGGTTGAAGGCCGTTGGTTATGTCATTCCTATTTCTACTGTGGAAGTGGAGAACCCCTCTCAATGGGTCAACCCAAACAAAACCTGTGTATATCACTCTGGTATGAAGGGGCACACCATCGATGAGTGTCGAACATTGAAAGATAAAATCCAGACACTGATTGACAACAAGGCCATACAAGTAAAAGAAGCTATA